GTGATTTCCATTTCATCAAGAACAATGGTGCAGTCTTTTTCCATGTCAGGTAATGATTGGACCATATGTTCAAGCATGTTGAACATATCTTCCAGGATACCATTGCCATGGAATTTAATGAACTGCACCGCTTTCTGCAGGGTTCGCACAGCAGGTAGAAGGGGAAACTTGTGAACCCAGGCAGAATAACCTTTGGTACCGGACTTCATTTTGAGAACAAGCCCCTCCCTTATCTCTGGCATCTGCCACTCTATGCCACGGTTGGAAGTACGCTGTAGGGCCTGAACTTGTCTCTCTGAAAGCCAGGGGGAACAAAATTTCCTCCTTAACTTTGACTGAGTACGGTCCTTGGCCCTTATTGCAGCCTGCCACTTCTTCTTGTACGTTGAGTGCTCAACATTATTTTCTAATTCTTCTATACGCCTGCGTTGCTGATCAATTACATCATTAGCAAGATCCAATTGAACACGTTGTGCAGTCAAGGCATCCGCCATTTCATCCAATTTAGCCATGGTTTGTGCCTGAGAAAAAAAAACGCAATCAAATAAAGTGGACTGTATACACAATGGTTTAAAAAAAAAAGTTTGTTCTCATACCTTTCTTGGTTCAACAACAGCAGTATCACTGCTGTCACTGCTGGCTAGCTCATCTGATGGTATGAGAGAACCAGTTTTTTCATCAAGTATGTACTGCAAAAAAAATAATACAAACATTTTAAAAATGAGTTCTAAGTTGCATTTTAAAGCTTAGATTGACATGCCAATAAGCTTGCCTCAGTTTCTAGGGAAAGACTAAATGTACTCACTGAACAATCACTAAACACAGAGGTATTTTGTTGATTTGTACCAGACGGTCCAGACATATCACACTGATAAAAAAAGAAAGAGGAAATTAGTTCAACAGAATTGGAATGATGGATTTTATTTTACTATACTGTTGGTAAAATGCAAGCACTGGACTTTTGATACTTACAGTACGGAGAGTAGGAGTGGGAACAATAGGAGTGCTAGTGAACAGTGGAGGGCTTGATTGTGGCATTTTATTCCGCACAGGTGTCACAGGTTCTGCCGCTATCATAGACGGTTCCAAGTCACTAGCTGTGTTGAGTGGTAAACCCAATTTCTAAGGACAAAACATAACACATACAACAGGAAATTGTTAGGAATGTCTGTGGAATAAATAAAAAGAGCGTCTCTTAAAACATGCACCAACAGCACATACCTCTACAACTGACTTCGGCACTTCAATAATGTACTTTGTCTGCCACATATCTGGAGGCGAAGCAACAGGTGGATGTGATGCTGGCACAGCAGCCTGCTGTAGGTAAAAGCAAATACAAATAAAAAATAAATGTAATTGTTTCTTTAGACAAAATCTCTAAACAAAGCCTTACATTCGATTCGTGAAGCAAAAGGAGGGCCTGTGCAGCCTCTGCATCCCCACAATTAAGGTCTCTCAGTGGCTTTCTAAGACTCGGGACAGCTGACTGCTTCAGCCGTTTCTCACCATCAACTCTGACCTTTTCATACTGACTATTATCAAAATGATCCTGAAACATGGAATAGAAAACTGTAGAGCCAAATTTTACACAAGAATTCTCTCACTATAGCATTTCATCCGTTCGTTCTCACCTCACAGAAGTAAGTGTTGGGCCGGACACGAAAATTAGGGGGCAATATAGCTAACCATTTACTAGCCTGATTTTCATCTGTGGGAAACTTTGTAAATTTCTTACCCTGCCCGCAACGAGTGGCACAGCCGGGAAAGCCACATTTTTTCCACCCCATTCTTCTAAATGAAACAGAAAACCAAATGTTTTAGTCACGCTCTACGTGATACAGGTTAAACGAGTAAGAAAAGCACACTAACCTGTGTGGGGTCACATTTGCCAGAAAATCTTCGTGAGAAAAACCAAGACGACAGTCAAAAGATTACTTTAAGTCTTGGTACTTAGGCCTGTTCTGTCCGTCGTTAAAAAAACTTGATGTGAATGGATCATTCAAAGGACCACGGGGAAGCAAAGGGCCTGCAAATGGCGGCCGGCCAAACAAACCACGCGAACTCCAACCAAAACCAAACCCAGCGCGCCTCAAAATCTCCCCAAGATGGCCGCCATGAAAAATTCAGCTGGCAGATGGGTAAGACAGCCATGGCGTTTCTCTCCCCTATAGGACTCTACCCTCTCTACCTCGCCCGTGCGGCTCGGCCGGCAGCAGCCGGGCGCCGGTACAGGCAGCAGCGAGCGGGAGTGGGGGTCGGCTCGAGCCGGCGCGAGGAGGGCGAGGCGGCGCTCAGTGTTAGGAAAATCGTCGCCAGTTCAACGCCTTGGATTCGTGATTTGGAAATTGTCGCCTATTCCGTTCAGCGTTTTATGCTGATCCGAACGATACTAGACACATTCGTTCAAGAGGTCTAGTGAAGGAGTCTATAGGCCTCGGCCTCCAACACGGCGGCGCTGGGCAGCGAGAGCGAGCGTCACACTCAGATCTGACTGGACTGCGACTACATCAGTGCACAGTGCACCCCATCAGAGCTGCGCGGAGCATAGATTGTAGAGCACACCACCCACACCACCACACCGACCATCAATTTGTCGTCAACGTCAACAGAGGGGCCTCCGCCGCCACCTCCAACGGCGTCGACGTCAACAACAGCGGTCGGGCCAGCGCTAGCCAAGAAGAGGCAGAGGAAGAGAAAGGCTGCTCAACAAAACACGGTAAGTTAGAACTTACCGTGTTTTGTAAGAACTACGTTGGTGGGTTTTCTGCTCCTAATTCTGCCCAAGCTTCTCAACCCAACAAACTACCCTAATTACTCCGTCAGGAGGATTGCGGTTTTCAGATCACAGTTGGCTGTCTTAGAGGGTGAGGAACAGTGGCTCATCCGGAATATACCGCCACAACCCGTGTGTGAGCACGTAAATCGACGCTTGGGCAATAGGATGCCGTTTAGAAGGGCAGCTCTGAGATTGGCTGTCACTTGGAGTCGCTCAAAGTCAGAGGGAGTCCACAAGAAGTTGGCAGAGGTGCTCCTCGTATTGTTCGCCAATGTAGACGTCACACACGTTCTACTAATAGAGAGATACATAATCAATGAGGTGCCTGCCATTCTAGCCAGTGGACCAGCAAGGGCGGAGGCTCCGGCAGTGTTCGCAGCCATTTGCCCGGTTGCAGTCACTCGGAGAACAATCTATCTATGCTAGGATGTTTTACCCATCAGATAAAATCCCGGAGCTGCAAAGAAACAAAATGAGGCTCTTGGCCTCGTTCGCTCAGATGTTGGCCGTGAGAGACTTCCCATCATTCTCCAACTATGCTAAGTCGGATAATGGGACATTTGATCGGCTCATCAGCACCCTGGACAGTATACATGAGAAGACCAAGGACGTTGTGCCACAGAGGTTCATGCAGCTGCTCAAAGGGGAGTATGGAGCGTCACAGTCCCCCCCTAGTGATGGCCTCATTGCAACCTGGGCACGTCACCACCATGTTGGCAATAGATGCCTTCACGGGGAACACCACCCGACGAGACGACGAGGAGTGAAGTATGTGGTTGTCAACGATTGTTAGTGGCCGGCAATGATATCCATTGGATGTCGAGCAGGTCCCTCAGGCTGTTGTGCCAGCATATGATGTGTAGAGCTTGGTGCGATGGGAGGGTGCAACGAGGTCAAAAGAGGTACCCTTCGCATCAGGGCGATGGCTCAAGTTGTATAGATTCCTTCTTTTTTACTCTCTGAGTGTCAGCCGTATTTACTAACCTACAATACCCCCACAGCCCACAAGTGAAGCATTGCGTTCCAGCCTTTGGATATAGGTGGTGCATACTGACCCCTCCCCGGGCCGCGCCTAGCCTACCTTGTCGCGGTCCGCAACGCGCATGCGCCACACGTGTTCGCAAGACACAGAGCGAATGCCAAGTGGGATGCCAATGCAATCCACAAATTTTCGTTTAACCCCCTCAAGGTAGGCAACCCAACGCACATGCCTCTGCCAGTGGAGCTGCAGTGCAGAAGGGACAAGCCGGCAGCGTGGCGCCCGCTCGCCGCCCAGCCCGGGCTGGCACTGGCTGGCCAGCAGCAGCAGCACTGCCTGCAGCCGGCGGGACAGGCAACAGATGAGACGGGACACACATGACGTGTGCAATAGCAGACAAATTTGGCCACAACAATAGGGAAAGGGTTGGGGAGTGCGTCCCAGAGCTCGGAGCTCGGACTTTTGGCGCTTGCCGCCTGCCTGCGTCCACCTGGCCTGCCTGAGCGCGCTGGTCAGGCGGGCGGGCGGCAGGCGCCTGACAGGTTTTCTAGCGTGGCAGAGCGTAGCTCAGGCGTGGCGAAGAGTAGAGTGCCGACTATGCCGCCTCGGATGTAGGCAACTCATCGAACCTCCCCCACCACCACGTTAACTTAGGCAGGCGGCAAGCGCCAAAGTCCGAGCTCT